ATATATATATATATATATATATTTATATGCTGATGAGTAAAAAAAATGTATGTAAAATGTACATATTGTGTTGTATAACATCAAGCATGGAATGTGACAGTACACTTAGAGGCACCTTGCTTTTAGTTGGGAGACTATAAGGTAAAAAGAAAAATCAAATTTCGATGCAATGGTCTACTGTTTAAACAATTAGTCAATGACACATTTAGAGGAATTATTCTCGGAATGGTAGCTGAAGAGAAATCTTTCTTTTGAAATGTACTAAAATCAGAAAATAACTGGGTAAAGTAAAGCCTAAAGTTAATTTAGAAATAGGGTGTAATTGATACCTGCCAGGAAGAGCTCTCGGAACAATTGATTTATTGGGCTTTAAATGTAGCTGTATTCTCATATCCATTACCAGGGATTTTAATGTACAAGTGATTGGAGACCAGGCATCCACACTTCAGACACTCAGTTCAAAAAGTACTCAGGGACAGATCGTGGGTTGGACAGATAGTGACTGGAAAAAAAGCATATTACATTGTTTAAACCACTTCAGAATACCCCTTGGTGCTCACATTTAACCCAAGTATGGATCATTTTTTATCTGAGAGAAGTGAAGCATTTGCCTTGGGAATTTTGTAAAATAAAACACTGGGACAATGTTGGTCTTTCTACATCCTGATCTGCAGCCTGTAATTATCTACTATGGCCCAATGTATTTTCTATAAGATTTTAACAGAAAGATAGCTTGGAAGAACCAAATAGCTATAACGGGTTGTGGGATTAAAGGAGAAGTGTGGTGTATTTTATTGCAATCATTTCCTTAAAGAGGAACTCTAGGAATTGTAAAAACCAACCCTTGCAGTGGGGATACCCCCAGACTGCAATGGTTAACCGCTCATTTTTCTCCAGGGGCCAGAATAAAGAAGATGATCCTCTCTCCAGCGGCAATCAGTGCTAACTTCTCTACCCCTCCACTCCAACAGTGAAATGTCCCTCAGCATCCTCACGTCTAATACACCTGCATTAGACATGATGATATTAGATGTGATGGTTCCTTAGGCCGCTGCAGCCCGGGAGAGCAGAGGCTGTGGGGACCGGTCTAGCAGACAGGTTTGGACCCAGGATCAGTTGAGTATATGTTCTTTATTTTAGCTCCTAGATCAACTTGCTTAACCCTTGCAAATCCTGGCATTCCACTTTAAAATATATCTAAGGCCAAACTTTTTTTTTATTATTATTTTTTATATAAAAGGGAATAGTTCAATTGTACAGGTGAAACTCGAATAATTAGAATATCGTGCAAAGTTAATTTATTTCACTAATGCAACTTAAAAGGTGAAACTAATATATGAGATAGACTCATTACATGCAAAGCAAGATAGTTCAAGCCGTGATTTGTCATCATTGTGATGATTATGGCTTACAGCTCATGAAAACCCCAAGAACCCCAAATCCACAACCTCAAAAAAGTAGATTATTACATGCAATCAATAAAACAAGTATTGTACATAGAACAATATCGGACCTCTGAAAAGTACAAGCATGCATATGTACTCAGTACTTGGTTTGGGCCCCTTTTGCAGCACTTACTGCAATTACTTTTGCACGATATTCTAATTATTCGAGTTTCACCTGTATGTAACCCCTAATAATTACATTTTCTTAATTTCTCCTTTTTGGCTTGCTAAACATACAACTGAAATCATTGTGTCCAAAGAAAATTCTTGATTCTGGCAGAAAACCTGTCAGCTAATAATTTCCACCTTTTTTTCACCTGGTGAATCTGCCAGTAACATACTTCCTGTCCTAGGGTTCCAACACTCACTCACCATACTTTTTCTATGGAGAAGCAGCATTGTCACCTGGGAACAATGTCACTGATAAGAATGCTGCAGAGAGAGCACAGACAGTTATCGGTTCACAAGATTTCTAGCTGGGCCAGGAAGTGTTTTTTTGCACTTTTTGAACAGATGTTGCAGAACACTTTTAGTGGCACTTGTAACAGATTAAAAGGGACCAAGACAGTATGTTGTATGAGACTTTAGTGACTGGGCTCAGACCTACTTTAAAGGGACAATAAACTCAGGAGCTACATCTTAAAAATGCATTTAAGTACCCCAACTATTAACAAAAATGTATCTTATTTGTGTATCACTCGCCTGTAGATCCTCAAATCATCTCTGAATTGGTGCTGACACTGTCCTTCCTTCTGGAGGGTGACTACTTTTGTTCCCCATGGTCCATGTGTGTGTTGTAAAGTAGCCACCACTCCAAGCTCACCCCCGTGATGGACTACAATCTCAATACAAATTAGAAAACTAAACATAAGATTTTAATTCATCACAGGAGTGAGCTTGGTGCGGTGGCTACTTTACAAACACACACAGGGACCATGGGGAACAAAAGTAGCCCCCCTCCAGAAGGAAGGACAGTGTCGGCACCAATTCAGAGATGATTTGAGGATCTACAGCCAAGTGATACACAAATAAGATACATTTTTGTTAATATTTAAGGTATTTGAATGTATTTTTAAGATTTAACTCCAGAGTTTAGTGTCACTTTAAATATTTGATTCTGTATGACCACCTTTATAATTTAAAACAAATACCTAATTTTTTTTGGATCTGCAATTTTTACATCATTGGTTTGATGTCCCATTAACACATTAAGACAAATTTTGAGTTATTTAAAAAAAAAAACACAAATAGACTGATACATTGCAATGTACTGCATTACATGCAATTACATGTATTGTATTGCATGTATCGAACCCAACTGTCCCTGTTTTAAATGAATAGTCCCTCGTTTTAATCTAAATCCCTCTGTCCCTCTTTCCACCTCCACTGTTCTTTATTGAGGTTCCATATACAGTATAGATCTTTATATAAATGTCCATAAGTGCATGAAAATATGTCTTTAGGATACTGATGCATCTTTTGTCTAAAGAGTTGGCTCTTAAATGTATTCTTTCCCATCACAGAACATTGGGCCTGTAAATATTTAAAGCACCTTCATACGTGCACACACAGGGTGTTTCCCTGTCCTAGGATGAACATCTTGTTCTGGTTTATTATGAAGAGGTCATGTGTGTACATGGAGAAAATAAAGCAAGGGGCATTTGTTCTGGCTTGCCGAGTGACAACCCTCTATGAGCTGCTAGCGCTGCAGCCTTCTCTGTCCCGATTCTGAGCCATGAATAATTTACTGAGATTGCAAACTGAAGTTGAGTCCATAGAATTCCCCCCGGCATTCGCTACCTTCAAGCCTGAAGCAGTGACCTTATAGCTAAAAGCTGATGATATTAAACCTGCCTCGCTGCACTTTAACTGCAGGATTAAACATAGTAAAGTAGCACAACGGCCTAGGAAGCACATACAGCAACGGGAGATACCTAGATTAGATGTATGACACCTACATCATGGCTAGACCAGCAAGCGCGCCATTGCAAAAGCTGTACTGCAGCCACTTTGTGCTTTATACTGCTATTTTCAGTGTTCTTCTACTCCGGTGCTATCCTTTTATTTTTATGTGTCAAAATCAAAGTTACAATTAATATTAGAATTTGTCAGAATTTTAGTTGAAATTAGAATTTGAAGGCAAATGCTAATCAGTTTTCATCTACTGCATTGTAAAGCTACATGTATAAAAAAGATGACTTAGGCTTTGCATACAAGGTTTCAAATGTAGACAACCAGCACACATTCATGCCTGAAAGGGTGGCATCAAGGGGTGGCCTTCAAGGGGTGAAACGTATAAGCACTTGTTGCAGCATATATGCTGCATTGTGTTTGAGTGCATTTTGCCTGAACGACTATGCCAGGGGTAGGCAATTAGGCATTGCAAGACTCTGACAGCTACAGGCATGACTCCCAGAGGCAGATGCATTATGGTGTTTGTAGTTTCACCACATTTGGAGGACCAGAGTTTGCCTACCCCTTGATTGTCAAGGCAGTATGTGCTACAAATGAGATAATGTTACCTTAAAGCAGAACTTTGGTGAAAAGTGTTCTTAAACCCACACTACAAGGGTTACGGTAAGTGCTTGCTTTTATCTAGGTGCTAAAAAAGTTATACTCAACTGAACTGTGGAGCCAGCTGGCTGCTACTCCAGTCCCTGAAGTATGTCTCCTCCTGCTGCAGCGATGGTATGTCCCTCAGCGTCCTCACGTCTTATACACTATGTAGAGAACGTCAAGGACCCTTAGACCGCTGCAGCGTAGGGGATGTGAGGCTCCAAGGATTGGCCTGCTCTGAGGACCAGATCAGTATAACTTTTTTAGCACCT